CGCTTCATGTAGCGCAGCAGCAGCGCTTCATGTAGCTGCAACGGGCGCGCTTCTTTACTGCAAAAGGCAGTGCTTCATGTAGCTGCAACGGGTAGCGCTTCATGTAGCTGTGGCAGGCAGCGCTTCATGTTAGCTGCAACAGGTAGCGCTTCATGTAGCTGTGGCAGGCAGCGCTTCATGTAGCTGCAGAAGTGTTCCATGAAGCAGTAGCGGTCCGTGCTTCATGTAGCAATGCGTCATGCAGCAGTGCTTCACGTAGCTGTAGCAGTCAGTGCTTCATGTAGCGGTGTTTATGTAGCAGTGAGTGCTTTATGTATCTGTAGCAGTCAGTGCTTCATGTAGCAGTCAGTGCTTTATGTAGCAGTCAGCGCTTCATGTAGCAGTCAGTGCTTCATGTAGCAGTCATGCTTCGTGTAGCGGTCAGTGCCTCATGTAGTTGTAACACTCAGCGCTTCATGTAGTTGTAGCAGTTAAACCATGCAGCAGTAGCAGCGAGTCCATGAAGTTGTAGAAATCAGTCCTCCATGTAAATTGTAACACTCAATGCTTCATGTAGCTGTAAAAGAAAGTCCTTCATGTAGCAGTAGAAGCCAGTGTTTTATTTAGTTGTAGCAGTGCTTCATGTAGTTGTAAGTCAGTGCTTCGTGAAGCAATTATGCTTCGGGTAGCTGTAGCAGTCGATAAAAACTGATACGGTATTTTCACTTCAATATCAGCTTTTAAACAAAACTTCATTGATAGGCATATTAATTTATTTAGGGATCAAAATAAAATTTGATTTATAGATCAAAGAAACATTCATGTAAAGGTAAAAGTTTAAAATCAAACAGAACAACAAAGTGAATATTAATAAGAACATCCTGCAAACCTTGACTTTTGCTGAAGAATTATAGCAGGCAATGTAATGTATTATATATATATATATATATATATAATATATATATATATATATATATATATATATATAATATATATATATATATATATATAATATATATATAGAGAGAGAGAGAGGTTGGGGGGGGGTAAGAAAACCCTACAAGAGGTCTTCACTGGGGCGCTCCAAGAGGCTCGTCTTGACAAAGATAAAGTCATCACCAAGGGTGGAGAAAAGTTTGTAGCCTTTCTCCTGCAGGAAGGTGGCAAGAGCCTGGCTTCCCTCAGGTACGTGGCGATGCTCCACACACAAAACATCGATGCTCACGCTCTCCCAAGGTTACAGTCTTCAATACCTGAAGTAGATACGAGGATTAACCTGCGTGGTTATAGACACACTCCTGGTCACCATGAATGTCTATAACACCACCCTGTTTTATCATGGTCACCATATATCAACGCTATATGATTACCACGCATGCTGCAATACACACTTCTCCATTCAGTCTTAGAACAGCTCTCTGGGCACCACCCACCTGTAGCTCGGCTCCTTCTACATCCAGGGACAAGAAATCTACGTGTGTAGAGTTGAGGGCAAGCAGGAGTGAGTAGAGAGGGAAGCACTTGACTCTAGCGTAGATGCCCTGTCGCCCTCCTTCCTCAGATCTACTCACGATGTGACCCATGTGTCGCTCTGCCTGAGGAAAGGTACCACATTAAGTCCACTCATACTCACAACATGATGAGAAAAAGAAAGAATCTTGTTTAAAAATATATATGACACTATTTAGAAATGCCTGCATAAAAACAAGTCATGAAAGAAAAGCTGTTAAAGTTGAAACACGAAAAGTAGATATAAGAAATGTACCAAGTTAACTGATATATTAACTACTACTTTTACTGCCACAACTACTACTGCTGCTATTATCACTACTATATACACCAATGCTATTATTGTTACTAATACTAACTTACTTGAAAGACACTTCTCTAGGGAATGGGTTGGGTGAGAGCAGGCATGGATCGAGTGTGCTTTCCTGCTCCTCTTGCGGAGGGCCCAGAAATTCCATGGTCAGGCTCGACCAGCAAGCCTTTCCAGCCTAGTTCACGCTCCAGTACAGTGTGTTGCTGAGCTCCTCACCGATTTGTAGCTCCAGCCTCCACGAAGAACCCCGCCTCGCTACAACAGGTAGTTGTTAGGTAGGTCATTATGGCTGTGATTTACCTGTACATTAGCGTAAATACTTTAAATACCTAAAATAGAGATAAAAGTAAAACACTAAAGTGTAATATACACATCACACACACCGAGATATACAGTTTTAGGTGTGTATATCTATGTGCATAAAGATATACACACACCTATTAGCTTATATACAGATATACACCTCCTTCAAGTGTATATACTCATATATGCACCTGTTTTCCTTCAAGGGAAAGGAATGGGATGGGAGGCTGTGCCTTGATGCTGATGAAAGGCTTCTGGAGTTATCCTATCCTTTATTGGATGAAGCCTAATAATTCCCATTTCCTAGGCTCTGTAAGACACCCAGGGATTTAGCGTTTTCCCATGAATATAACAGTAATAATACCGTTGATTGGTTAAGTGGGCTTAGGGCCTATCGACACACGAGGGTAATTAATGCTGCTCACTGCCTGTTCGCTACCAGTCAAGAATACTTCAATCCCTAGAGTACAGACTAAAACAAACTCAAAGCATATGTACCCTGACAGACTTGCATCTTGCAGTGCATGTATCCTTGACAATACCGTATACAACTCTGGGTTCAATATACCCAGCTACTTAGTACATTAAAAATGCGTCTCTTGCATATCCTTCCTGCTCCTTTGAAGATACGTACGTGTGTAAACACATGAAAGCTTCTCAGATTCCTGTTTATTTGCAGTCACGACGCGTTTTACAGCGATTTCTTCCATACCCAGCTATATGACTGTGGAGAAAAGGCTTGACTCTGCTGAGATTTGAAACAGCTCAACAATTCATGGGAGAAAAACTACTGGCTGATCTTTTGTTGTAGAGCAAAAAATTGTCATTTTCAACGGAGAAGCGTTGAACCCGTAAGGGCATATAGAGCTTGGAAGTGGGTGGAAATCAAGTTTGATCCAAGGAAGGGACAGTAGGTCGAAATCTTTGGGTCAAGAACCCGCCTGGATTTATATCACGGACTATAAACAAGAGAGTGAAAATGTTATTCTACAAATCATTAGTAAAGCCTCATTCAGATTATGCGGCGCAGTTCTGGTCCCTATACTACAGGATGGAGTGAATGCATTAGATATTAAAATACCGAGGAGGCATAGGATATACACAGACTAGTATGTTTCTCAATGTATATAAATGCTAAGATTACTTTAATACATAAAATATTATTTTATCAACTGGAGGTGAACAGGTAGCATTGGAATCTTAATGATCCTTTGAGCAGTCGAAAAGCTTGAAGCGTAATTAATCATCTAACATATGACAAAATTTGCTGTCTGAATGAGGAATATTTGATACGAATATAAAATGAGAGCCCGGAAACTGTACTACTTAAGAGATATAGAATGAAGGGAGGTATAATTAAAGTACACATGTGGAACACAATTGTAAAGGGTATTCAAGTTTGATAAATTTACTTAGTACTTGTTTGGAAACAGTTGCAGACGAGAGGAACACTCTCTAAACCTTTTAATTTTGGGGGTCCGTGAAGGAGTGCTTTCCAGATACTGTACCAGAGGTTGACATAACACCCCATGTTAGAATAAATGATGACACTGGAAAACTCACACGAGATATGTTGGTCAATACGTGGTATGAACTGGGGTATCGACTTGTGCTACTAACTACCTGAAATATACATGGTGAACTTGCAAAAGCTTCGAAAATAGTGAAGCTGTGTAAAAGCTATTATTCCTGCTATCATATGCAGAAAACTTCACTTTCGTATTTCTTGACATAAAAACTGAATTTGTTCAGAAAGGGATTGTGGAGAATTTATATAATATATATATAATATAATAATATAAATATAATATATATATGCAAAACAACCACTGTGAAAGAATATAAATTCCAAGCGCTTTCGTGACTACTCACATTATCAAGGAACATTGTTCCTTGATAATGAGATTATATTATATATATATATATATAATATATATATATATATATATTCTTTTTTTTTTTATTGTGCCCACGAACGAGTGGTATTGATCACTAACAACACTGCGACTAGCCAAGGACTAATCCATGCTGCTTTGGCCTGCCTCATGGTGGGCGAAAACTCATGACGCCTTAATTCACTGGACCATACAATCCTTTTAAGAGTAGCGCATCCAGCGGAACTGGAACTAGTCGCAGTGTTGTTATTGATCAATACCACTCGTTCATGGGCACAATAATATAAAATAATGCTCGTTTTACTAGTACACCAAACAGGGACTAGAATGAAATTAGCCTGTAGTCATCCACACCATCGTATGTCCTTGGGTAGGGAATACAACATCCAGTTCCGCTGGATGCGCTTCTCTTAAGGATTGTATGGTCCAGTGGATTAAGGCGTCATGAGTTTTCGCCCACCATGAGGCAGGCCAAAGCAGCATGGGTTCGAGTCCTTGGCTAGTCGCAGTGTTGTTGATGTATATTTGTGTGTACGTGTGTGTGTGTGTGTGTGTGTGTCTCATGCCGAATATATAAATTATTATTATTATAATCAAGGGGGAAGCGCTAAACCCGGAAGATTATACAGCGCCTGGGGGGGGGATGTGGAAGGCATTCAGGCTTAATTCGGGGAACTGGAGCACAGATCCAATTCCCTAAATCAAGAGCCCCTCACCAACATCAAGGAGCCTTCCTTGAGGGGCCGAATATATAAAACTAGTCAATTAGCAAGAACTCCTTTAAAATTAAGTCCTTTCTAAAATTTTCTCTTATACGTTTAAAGATATATATTTTTAATTTATGTTAATTTACAAGTTAATAATTTTGTACCATAAAAAATTAGAAAACTTACCTAACCTTATTATAACAAACGCAATTTAATTTAGCCGAATCGAACTAAATATATTTTACATAAGTTTTACAGTAATTTAGTAATTAACAAACACAATGAAATGTATTTTTTCGTTAGGTTTAGAAGGGTTTTGCTAAATTATTGCATACACAAATTTCCGCTTGTCCTATATAGCAAGATGAGTATTGCTAATTTAAGCCAAGATCGCAAATTCTGCCTATTCGGCACGACATTATATATATATATATATATATATAATATTATATATATATATATATATACAGGCAGTAATTTCATGCACTGGTCAGGGAGGTATACCATCTTTTAGGAGTGAAGAAGACCAGAATGTAAGTGTGGTGGAGGTACGTGAGGCATTACGTAAGATGAAAGGGGTAAAGCACTGGAAAACTGGTGGGATCATGACAGAAATGTTAAAAGCAGGGGGGGATATAGCGTTGGAGTGGTTGGTACTTTTGTTTAATAAATGTATGAAAGAGGGGAAGATACCTAGGGATTGGCTGAGAGCATGTATAGTCCCTTTATATAAAGGGAAAGGGGACAAAAGAGATTGTAACAATTATAGAGGAATAAGTATTACTGAGTATACCAGGAAAAGTGTACGGTAAGGGTTATAATTGAAAGAATTAGAGGTAAGACAGAATGTAGGATTGCGGATGAGCAAGGAGTTTCAGAGTGGGTAGGGGAGTGTAGATCAAGTGTTTACATTGAAGCATATAGTGAACAGTATTTAGATAAAGGTAGGGAAGTTTTTATTGCATTTAATGGATTTTAGAAAAGGCATATGATAGAGTGGATAGAGGAGCAATGTGGCAGATGTAGCAAGTATATGGAATAGGTGGTAAGTATTAAATTCTGTAAAGAGTTTTTATGAGGATAGTGAGGCTCAGGTTAGGGTGTGTAGAAGAGAGGGAGACTACTTCCCGGTAAAAGTAGGTCTTAGACAGGATGTTAATGTCACCATGGTTGTTTAATATATTTATAGATGGGGTTGTAAAGGAAGTAAATGCTAGGGTGTTCGGGAGAGGGGTGGGATTAAATTTTGGGAATCAAATTCAAAATGGGAATTGACACAGTTACTTTTTGCTGATGATACTGTGCTTAGGGAGACTCTAAGAAAAATTGCAAAGGTTAGTGGATGAGTTTGGGAATGTGTGTAAAGGTAGAAAGTTGAAAGTGAACATAGAAAAGAGTAAGGTGATGAGGGTATCAAATGATTTAGATAAAGAAAAATTGGATATCAAATTGTGGAGGAGTATGGAAGAAGTGAATGTTTTCAGATACTTGGGAGTTGACGTGTCGGCGGATGGATTTAATGAAGGATGAGGTTAATCATAGAATTGATGAGGAAAAAAGGCGAGTGGTGCGTTGAGGTATATGTGGAGTCAAAAAACGTTATCTATGGAGGCAAAGATAGTAGTACCAACACTCTTAATATGGGTGTGAAGCTTGGGTGGTAAATGCAGCAGCGAGGAGACGGTGGAGGCAGTGGAATGTCCTGTTTTAAGGGCAATGTGTGGTGTAAATATTATGCAGAAAATTCGATTGTGGAAATTAGGAAAAGGTGTGGAGTTAATAAAAGTATTAGTCAGAGGGCAGAAGAGGGGTTGTGAGGTGGTTTGGTCATTTAGAGAGAATGGATCAAAGTAGAATGACATGGAAAGCATATAAATCTATAGGGGAAGGAAGGAGGGGTAGGGGTCGTCCTCGAAAGGGTTGGAGAGAGAGGGGGTAAAGGAGGTTTTGTGGCAAGGGCTTGGACTTCCAGCAAGCGTGCGTGAGCGTGTTAGGAGTGAATGGAGACGAATGGTACTTGGGACCTGACGATCTGTTGGAGTGTGAGCAGGTTAATATTTAGTGAAGGGATTCAGGAAACCGGTTTTCATATAGTCGGACTTGAGTCCTGGAAATGGGAAGTACAATGCCTGTACTTTAAAGGAGGGGTTGGGATATTGGCAGTTTGGAGGGACATGTTGTGTATCTTTATATGTGTATGCTTCTAAACTGTTGTATTCTGAGCACCTCTGCAAAAACAGTGATAATGTGTGAGTGTGGTGAAAGTGTTGAATGATGAAAGTATTTTCTTTTGGGGATTTCTTTTTTTTTTTTTTTTGGTCATCCTGCCTCGGTGGGAGACGGCCGACTTGTTGGAAATATATATATATATATATATATATATATAATATATATATATATATATATATATATATATATAATATATATAAATATATATATATCAGCATTTTAGCATATACTCACCCCTGGACCACCTTACTCACCTTGCCTCTGAGGATCTTGGCTACCACCTTACTTTGGCCATTCTGTGAGAAGTCTGGGTATTGGATTATTGAGGTTGTAAGGAGCGTGGCGGGGTGCACAGATGGAGCTGTCTGATGTAGGTGACCAGGTCTGGGTGATGCTGAGCGCTCCTTCTAGGTCGTGGTCCTCTAGTTCCAATACTTGCCGTGGGCTGGCATGCCGGCTCAGCGCTGCACCAGCACAATATAACAAATTATTACTAACGCAGTACATTAACTACAGAAAACTGGCTGATACTTATTTAACTGTTATGGAAAAGTGTTTGACACCTTACAAATATACCACAAATCAATCACGCTGAGCTTATATAAAAAAAAACAAATGCTACTAACCCCACCATCCTAGGACACAATTGAAAAGAATTTTAGTCATATCTTCTTAAGAGCTAATTTATCAATTCACATTATTATACGCATGTGTTAACTCAGAGTCATAACATAGTGCAAAATGTTTTATATAGCCTACCAATGACGCCGTGGTCTAGCTAGATATATGACATTTTTCTGCACAAACAAACACTGCCTGTTATATAATCGTGCGCTTTCCACCTGCATAAGAGCATGGTAGTAGAACAAAAATGGTTCTACATGACCATATTTTTAAAGGGTGGACCGGTAAGCCAGCGGAAGGCCTCGGTCAGATGACCAAAAGCTCCAAAGGCGGGTCATCATCTGACTAAGACCCGCGTCAGGAAACATTTGTCCTGTTTCCTGACGAACCTTACCTAACCTAACCTGCATACGATAGGAGTTGGGGAGAGACAGGTCAGATGACCAAGTTTGGTGCCAGTGAGGGGCTCTTGATCTAGGGAAATGAACCTGTCCTCTTCCTTGGATAGAACGTGATTTACTCCCGTTCCCTTACGGGTTTAGTGCTTCCCCAGCTCAATAGGTAATATCTCACAAAAAAATTATTTTATGTCAAGAACAGCTTATTTGCTCATTCTATTATCTCTGAAGGATAGCTCCTTGATGTTGGTGACTGATCCAAGAATCATGTGTAAAACTGTAAAAAGTTCACCTACACAATTCAATAAAAATCCAAACCTTCCTCTAAGATACACCAATGCTGAGAGTTGAAAGTTATTCAAGTTACTACACAGTAACCTTGGAGGAACAACATGAACATATACCCTGATACAGAAGCCGATCGGACCAAGCATTCTGAAGTTATAAACTAAAACCTAAGAGGAAAAAATCCGACAACCACTGCTGTTTTCCCGTTTGGGGTATGTCTAATATGCCCTACTGGTTAAATCTTCATAATATAACGTTGTTGTACGCCTAAATCATCTCTGAGTCCTCTGAATTATTTTACCAATTTTTGTCTAAAATGTTTGTAGACTCCTGAACAACATTTATTTACTAATTAAAACTTGTATGATTTCTCAAATAAAGAGAGCTTTCTAACATAGGAATGGAGGAACACTGCAGAAGGCCTACTGGCCCATACAAAGCAGGTCCTTTCAAAATATGCTGGACAGTAAATGTGACTTCATCCCTCACAAAGCAGAGCAGGCTGGGCGTCCCCATGAGGTAACCATAAGTGTAAAATGGTATGGTGACACTGACAAGGTATGGAAAAAGATACTTATGGACAGTTCAGGACATTTATTGGAGGAAACGTTTCGCTAAGAGTGGCTTCCTCAGTCGTGGCGAAACGTTTCCTCTAATAAATGTTCTGAACTGTACCTAGTGTCTTTTCCCACAGCCGTAAGTGTGACTGGTGCGACTGCAACAGGGCTACGATAGAGGTCTTCCACAATCGAAAACTCAAAGTGTAAGGTCGTGAAGGGTACAGAGGAGTATACATATTGAATGCTTGCAACACCAGAAATCCATGTACACGTAAAAGTTGGGCCCTAACCCTGCAAAACTTGACCTAGATGTTAGTCGGCTGCTGTGGATGGAATCCTTGGGAGGAACAGGGCCTTATGATATCTCCCTAAACCGAGTTTATACGATTAAACATTTAGTTGTTGCTTCTTCTTCTTCCACTCACCCTTAGCGTTGAGGAGGAAGAGGAGGGAAATAAGGGCGAGGACAGTGGCCAGGAGAATAGAGAGAGGTGCAGCTCGGGGCAGACGACCAGGCCTCGCACACCACCACCACCACTCAGCCCACACGCCCATCTTCTCCCACGCCCACCTGTAGACAATAAATATTAGTGTTCCCTAACACTAGCCACAGGTCATCTACATTCACTCACCATCAGATCCACAACACAGAACTTTACAACACTATCACTATTCTTAATTTTTACATTAATGTAAAACTTAATAATTTTGTACCAAAAGAACCTTAGAAAACTTAATTAACCTTATTATAATAAGCGCAATTTAATTTAGCCTAATCCAATATAATTTAGATAAGTTTACAATAATTTAATAATATACAAACACAATGAAATGTATTTCTTTCGTTAATTTCAGAGATGCTTACGAAATTACTGCACACACAATTTTCCACTTACCTTATTCGGCAAGAAGAGCGTTGCCATTTAAGCCAAAATGGTAAGTTTTACCTATTCGGTCAATTAGCAAGAACTCATTTAAAATTAAGTCCTTTCTGAAATTTTCTCATATACGATAAAGATATATTTTTTCATTAATGTTAATGTAAAAATTTTTAATTTTGCACCAAAAGAATCTTAGAAAACTTGCCTAACCTTATTATAACAAGCGCAATTTATTTTAGCCTAATCCTACTAAATATATTTTAAATACTTTTACAGCAATTTAATACCAAGCAAACACAATGAAATATATTTTTTTCGTTAGGTTTAGAATGATTTTTGAGAAATTATTGCATACACAAATTTTCGCTTGTCCTATATAGCAAGATGAGTATTGCTATTTAAGCCAAGATCGCAAATTCTGCCTATTCGGCACGACATTTTATATATAATATATATATATATTATATATATATATATATATATATATATATATATATATATATATATATATATATATATATATATATATATATAAAGAATAACTTAGAATATACGAACAGTCGGACGCTTGATATCTTCATCGCCCTCCCTACTTAAGTCTCTCAGATAAAGCGAACATATTTGATTACCGTATGTTATGGCACCTATCCTGTGTGATGGATTATGAGAGACCTCATCCCGTGTGACGGAATATAAAAGGAAATCCATCCTGTGTGATGGTGTATGACATGAATCTCATCCCGTGTGATGGAATATGACACAGGGCCTCATTCTGTTTGAAGGAATATGATATAAACCAATCCTGTGTGGTTGGGATTACGACTGAATGTTGAGAGCAGTGGAGATCCAGTGCTGGAATGGTTGGTGAGTTTTGTTCAATATGTTTATAGAAATAAAAGTTGCTAGGATTGGCAGAGCATGTATAGTTCCTTTGTGCTCAGGGAAACGAACAAGAGTGTGTATAAGAATCACAGGGAAGATGTATGGGCAAGAAACCTTAGAGCCCCAGCTCCGGTTCACCTAGGATTAAGTACCTGGGTGCGAGTGTTTCTATATCCTCGACTCAAATTCATGACAGTAGTAAATAGGTGTTCGGGTGTTTGTCGACGGTTGAGGGTCACATCCTAGAAAATGACCTGATACTGAATAGTCTTCCTGGTGTTAATTTACAGATGAATTAAGAATTTATAAACCCGTGCTGACTATAAGCCTTGAACCCTAACACAGTATCGTATTCTTCCTGATATACCTAATTACGGTCTTCCCGTCTTTGAAAGAGTAAACTCAGGTTTAACACAAGCACATAAAAATAACAGTTACTGTCTAAAAATGCTCCTAGAATATACTTTCTTTGGTGGTAGTTCATTTGTCAGGAGAGTTGTGAAAAAAAATGCAGACACGGATCTTAGTGATACGATGCCCCACTCCGTGGAGCTGTGGTCACGTGATAACACGCTCCGTGGAGCTGTGGTCACGTGATAACACTCCGTGGAGCTGTGGTCACGTGATAACACTCCGTGGAGCTGTGGTCACGTGATAACACCCGTGGAGCTGTGGTCCACGTTAATTACCATTTTGTCCTAGGCACATGTCGATTAGACACTAGGCCTGTTGTATATGCGTACGTGCGTACGCATATAACATATGTATGTGCGTGTGTGTGTGTGTGTGTGTGTGTGTGTGTGTGTGTGTGGTGTGTGTGTGTGTGTGTGTGTGTGTGTGTGGGTGTGTGTGTGTGTGTGTGTGTGTGTGTGGAGCGCGCGCGCGTCTCTCTCCTGCCGAATAGGTAAAAACTGGTCAATTAGCAAGAACTCGTTTAAAATTACGACCATTCTAAAATTTTCACTTATACGTTTAAAGATATATTTTTTTTAATTTATGTTAATGTAAAAATTAATAATTTTGTACCAAAAGAACCTCAGAAAACTTACCTAACCTTATTATAACAAGCGCAATTTAATTTAGCCTAAACCAACTAAATATATTTTAGATAAGTTTACAATAATTAATAATAAACAAAATGAAATATGACTCACGAAATCGTAATGACACGATGCAAACAAACCATACGTGATGACACGATCCGTGGAGCTGTGGTCATGTGATGACACGCTCGGTGGAGCTGTGGTCGTGTGATGACACTCCATGGAGCTGTGGTCACGTGATGACACGCTCTGTGGAGCTGTGGTCATGTGATGACACGCTCCGTGGAGCTGTGGTCCACGTGATAACACGCTCCGTGGAATTGCATTAAGTTTTATAACCTACATGAACTGTATCACTGTAGGCAACAAGAGCATTTCACCCCTCCATGGAAGATGTGTTCATTTAATATCACATACCTACAAATCCCCCCAAGAAGCTCATTGCTATAATCCCCCCTTAAATCCTTGTTAGAGCAACTGCTCAAGAAGAAATTCTCACCTAGCTGGGAGTAACAAGTTTTCACAAGTTATATACACTGATGGATCTAAAAGATCTTCTGGAGGGGCTCACTGCCTTTTTGCCACCCCCTAGTTAAGAACGATAATAAAAATTTTTTGAGTTAGGCTAAGAAATTTAAAAACGGGGCAACTGCAAATGAATTGTTTGCAATCAAAGGCGCTAAAGCTAACCAAAGACCACGAGCTTTACTCTATCATTTATGATTCTATGTCATCACGAAGCTCTTGACTCATATAATGACTCCAACAACAGTCATTGGGGAAGCCAGGATAAAACCAAAAATTTTGGGACAAAGGAATTTAAAGTACAATTGCAGGATCCCATCACATGATTACTCCTCATGATAAAGTTATATTTTAGCCAAAAGATATCGAGAAGGAGAATGTAGAATATAACTTTGGGAAACGTGTCTAGATTAGGAATAAAATTTGGAGGAAGAATAATGAAATGATTGTTATAGGAAGCAGTTAGGCCTGGTAGATCATAAAAACCACAAAGATAACATGAACGAGATAATTGTTTATGGGGCAACTTTCAATGTGACAGACTACTGATGTTGTGTGGCCAGGGTTTGGCTTGGGTTTAAAATACTTCTGGGGAGTTTTTTGGGGACACCAGATGTATCAAAAAAAATGTAAATTTGTGATCCGGGATTGGTCACTCTCTTAAAACACTATGTTTTTAAATTGCCAAAATTTAAATGGGGAATTTACAGAGCAGCCCAGTATAATAAAAAAATGTGACATGTCAAGAAATTTTAATTAATAAAAAAAAGATCCCCAAATATACTAAGAAATTACCTAATTTCTTGAAACAGAAAATTGAACTATAGATATGTAGATAAAAAAATCCATTTTTTTTCTTTTTAAACCCTTTTTGGGGCCCTAGTTCCTGGGCCTTTTTTTGTGTATCCATATGCTCCGCAAAAAACCGCCACAGGGTGGATATGGGGTGCACAAAAACTAGCCATTTCCCGGTGGAAAAATTTCAAAAAAAAAAAAAAAATCCGGGGAGCTTTGGTCCACGGAAAAACACTCCGGGGAAGCCGTGGTCACGTAAAGACACGCTCCGTGGAGCTGTGGTCATGTGATGACACGCCCCGGGGAGCTGTGGCCCATGTAAGAAAACGTTTCCGGGGAGCTTTTGGTCATGTAAAGGACACGCTCCGGGGGAGCTGTGGTCACGTGAGGGCCGTTTCCCGGGGAGCGGGGTTCATGTGATGACACGCCCCGTAAAGCCTTTTTTTTTGGGTCTTTGTATAACCTTTCGGTTTTTTTCCCCCAGCAAATTTTTGAAAAAAAAAAATTCCCTCATGCGGGGCGGTTCCTTCGATAGATTTTTTTTTTTATTTCGGGGTAAAAAACTGTTCTAATTATGGAAAATGATGTTTCCCTCTTCCACCATTTCTCCATCCTTTTAAACCGCCCTTTTCCCCCCCTATTTTCCCCTTTTTCCGGGCCCCCAACCCTCCCTCGCTTTCCTTTATCTCTTTCCCCCCCCACTTCCCCCCCTCCCAAACCCCCCCCCCCATTTGTTTTTCCCCAATGGTTTTCCCCCCCTCCCCACCCCACCAAAAACTGTCACTCTCCCCCTCTCTCCCCCCCCCACCACCAATCCATCCCTTACCCCTAAATACCTTCACGCCCCCAGATACAAAAATTGAACAGCTCCCCTCACCAAACCCAAAAAACACTTTTTACTCCCAATTTACGTGCTTCTCACCATCACCACCAAAAATTTGTAAATCCGCATAAAAATGGTTCTCCCAAAAAACAACATTTTACTCCAGCTAAAGTGGGGTTTTTCAACAAAAAAACAAATTGTACTCCAGCATAAAGTGGTTTCAAAAACAACACTTGTACTCCAGCATAAAGTGGTTCCCCAAAAAACACTTGTACTCCGGGATTAAAAAATGGTTTTTCCCAAAAACAAAAACTTGTACTCCAGCTAAAGTGGTTTTTCAAAAACAACACTTTGTACTCCAGCATAAAGTGGGGACAACAACAAGGGTTGTACTCCCCCCATAAAGTGGGTTTCCCAAAAAAAACACTTGTAAACCCCCCCTAAAGTGGTTTTCAACAACAACACTTGTATTCCAACATCAAGGCTTCTACCACTTTCCTCCCACAACTACTAACGTGTTTCCCTTTTTTATTTAAGTAAAATGATCAAAGGGCTTTTTAAAACCTCTAGTAGCAGTAGGGGGGATTTCAGTAGCAGTTGCAGTACATTAGTAAATAGTTAG